GGGATCCCCTATACTTGTGTATTTTTTAAGATTTATTTATTTTTCATGAGAGACACACAGAGAGAGAGGCAGAGACATAGGCAGAGGGAGAAGCAATCTTCCTGTGGGGAGCCTGATGCAGGACTCAATCCCAAGACCCCAGGATCATGCCCTGAGCCAAAACCAGCGGCTCAACCACTGAGCCACCCAGGTGTCCGTATACTTGTGTATTTTTAATAGCAGAATAAGGAATGAGTTTTGTAATGTCCTTTGAAAATTATGTTTATTGCTATTTTATTTTTGAAATAATAATATCACTTTGTAGGAGAATATTTAGAAAGTAGTTATAAAATGCCACCTTGTGACCAAAGACAGAAACACACACACACACACACACACACACACACACACACACACAAAACCAAAGACAGAAGCACATCATTTCTCACAAGGTAGAGTGGCACCCAGGTAGCATAGAGCCGGGGAAACTCCTCAGCTAGTACCCTCAGAGGTCTGACACTTACACCAGGTTCTTCTCAGAAGTAAGATGGAACAGAAAGCAAACAAGGAACTGGAAGAGCCAACAGGCCCTATCTCAGCTAAAGAGATAGGAGAAATGGTACTATACTACTTTCACCTTTATGTATGAATTATACAAACACTACACGGAGCACCTGGGTGGCTCAGTCAGTTAAGTTTCTGCCTTCAGCTCAGGTCATGATCCCAGGGTCCTGGGATGGAGACTTGTGTTGGGCTCCCTGCTCAGTGGGGAGTTGGCTTCTCCTCCCCCTTCCCTCCACTCATGTTCTCTTTCTCACTCTCACTCTCAAATAAATAAACTCTTTATGGAAAAACTCAACATGTTCATTAAAAAGTTAAAACTGGATATACAGAGAAGGATAAAGATGAATTTATAAATTTCCCATATCATTTAGAAATATTCACTTCAAATTGTTTGTTATATTCTCTTTACCGTGTGTGTGTGTGTGTGTGTGTGTGTGTGTGTGTTGCAGCTGGCTTTCTCATGAAACAGTATGATGATCAGAAATGGCTTTCCATGTCAATGAGATGTTTCTACATCATATTTTGTAATTCATGAAAGTAAGATTTTCTTCATGATTTCAAATTTTCAGGCAGATAACTAAATAAATTGGAAATTTAAAAGGAATTTGTTTCTCATCTTACAATACACAAAAGGGACCAGAGTGCATAAATGCTGTAAATGTATATAGAATTCAATTATTTCTGGAGTGCCTAGGTGGCTCAGTCAGTTAAGTGTCTGCCTTTGGATCAGGTCATGATCCTGGAGTCCCGCAATGAGCTCTGGGGGGTCTGCTTCTCACCCCACTTGTGCTCTCTGTGTCTCAAATATATAAACAAATCTTTGAAAAAAAGAATTATTTTAGAATTTCAAATGAATGACAGTTATTCCATTTAGTTTATGTACCATTTGCTTATGCAAGGGATAAGGTTGAATGAAAGAAATGAGAATAGATTTTTCCTCTGGAAGGGTGATATGGAATCAAGGAAGCATATTTGAGTAACTTTCATATTTGAGTATTATCTCAGCATAACCTGATGATGATAATGATGAATGATGATGATGATGATGGCACTGTTGATAATGATGATCAAAGATCTAACATTCTCTGAGGGTCTATTGCATGCCAGGAATTTTATATAGTCTTCTGCATTTACTTCCAACAATGGTCTTAAGGGTTTATGTAGGGTTACACTTATTTTAGAGATGAATGAATCTGGGCTCATACTTCTTATAAAAGCAGAGAACCCAATTCCAGCCATATTGCTTTCACATTATATTGGCTTCACTCTTTCAGATGATGGGTTCCCAGGACTTGCCTACTGATCCTTAGGAATCTTTACAGTATGTGGCCTGTGCCCAACAGGAATCCATTGAATATTCACTCAATACCATCCTTTGATGATGATGATGATGGTGATAATTATGATGATAAGAGCAATGATAATGGTGGAGAGGACATTTTCTCTTTGATCTAAGAGTTCTATTTCCAGGGAGCCCATAAATGGCTCAGTTTCAAAGATAGTAGGTGTCCTCCAAGAAAAAAAGATAAGTGATTTATGCAATGTTGCATGCTATAAGGGGAAGAGCCCAGATTGAAACCCAAGTTATTATGGTTCTAAGGCCATACCCTTAACCACTCTGCCTTCCTAAACTCAAGAATTTGAATTTTATCTTCACCTTATTGCCCAACCTGTCTTTTAGGATATCAAAAAAAAGTGGTAATAATTCCTCAGATGAGAAATCTAAAGATAAAGGATCACAATTGCTTCCTCTAACATCAATGCCTTTAAAAGCATCTTCATACCAATTCACAGCTTGACTGCCCTGGCCCCAAGTTAGGGGCTGGGTCTGCAGTGCAAGGGTGTTGTTCAAACAGAAGGTAACACCCCATTTCTCCTGAACTGTAGGACCATATGCTTTTGCATGCTTCCTTTACCTGGGGTTTCCTATATCCCTGAGCCTGGGCTCATGCAGACATCAGAAGTACCACACCAGGCACACACAGAGCTAAAGTTATTGCAGAACCACCCCAACACGCCCAGACACAACAGAGGCCCTTCTGGGAGTCTAAGCAAGGTAGGTGGGAGAGTGATGAGGGAGGTCTTGTCTGAGATGTCCCCATTTTCACTTCAATTGCTTTGGGGGCTACTTCATTGGACTTGAGGGGCAACCTCTTCTGCTTTATCTCCAAGTTACCTGGTCAGACCCAGATCAGACAATTGCTTAGCCAAAAACCGTCATGACCAATGTTTCCAGTTAGGAATCTTTGGGACTTTATATCTTCCCTTATAAAAAGTTCCCCAAAAGAGAAAGGGAGAAGGAAAGGAAAGACAGTAACTGTCCTCCAAGTATGTCGAAGACAGCCCAGTCATCAGCTTGGGAGAGTCCGTGCCTGGCTGCAGGCTGAAGCAGAGAAACCATAGTTAGATCCACGCTGAGGAGGAATGTGACTTGGGTGAACCCTTCCACATCCTACCTGAACACCACCCCCTCTGAGCACCAGGAGAATGGATTTATCCTGTCTTGTAAAACTGGTACAGTTAGCCCCTGGAAGTTCATCTCACTGCAACCAGAGTCCAGACCAACTGGCATCCATCAGGCTATTGCAACCTTTAAGAATGGTCTGGAGACATGAATTTCCCCCAAAATGACATCACACAATGAAAAAATTAAAACAAAGCCAAAGGGTGTAGGACTGGCTCACCATTTTGTGTGCTGATCACAAAAAAAGAGATCTTGAATATATTTTACTCATATTGTAAGGAGTGAATGTATGGCCAAACAAGATTACATTCCTTCCCTTGGCTTTATGTATTATTTATTAAAGGAAATCTTTTAAATTTTATGTATAAATTTGTCAGTCTTTCATAATTAAAAGCAAGCACTCTTATAGGCCTCTACTTTCTGAATTTCAATAAACATTCACCAATATTGTCTTCTAATTAAAGCTCATATTTGTAATAATGGAAAATACCGTATTTACCAGTCACCCTCATGCTTCAATGTGTATCATAATCACCTAGTGGAGCATGCTGTTACTTCTACAACCCACCTCCTGTCAGTGAGTCCTAAAGTGAGCCCCAGAAATCAGTATTAAAGATGCTTCCCAAGGTGGTTCTAATGCAGGTGATTATGCAAGACTTTGATGAAACATTTGGAGTACAATCTGTTTCATGCACTTTCTTTTTGGAATTGCTTGCCAGAATACTAGAGAAACAAACTTGTGGAATATTGAGTCAATAGCAGAATGTGGATAACACCAGCTCCTTAGTAATAATTAAATCAAGAAACCAACTAAATATTAAAATATGAGGTCTCAGTTAAATACAAGTATGTGTGACTATTAGGAGGAAAGACATTTTTGTTCTGTAGGGAAAATACAATTCCTAACGTTTACCTGATAGCCTTTCTACTAGTACATTTAGATTACTAGTAGTGCCTTCACTAGTCTTTTTCATGTTTCAACTGGAGTTGGGGTAGGGTGAAGGGACTATTTCCTTAGATCTGTTTCCTATATTGCTGTGTGCGACTTATCCATATTCAAAGTCCTCTGAACCAGCAAGTCAGGCCTTCCAGGAGCCTTTAGGGAGAGATCATCTCACAAGAGGACAAAACCTTAGTCCTTAGACCCGAGGCAACTCTGACTACAACATTGTTTAAATTCAAACTTGTACCTTGGTCCAACTCCCAAAATGGCCTCATCGTGTCTGACTCCGATTTAGAGGAGGGGTCCTAGGATTGAAAACAGAAGGGGCTGTTTGCTAAGAACCCTGCAAGGCACTGTGGCCCAAGCAATCCTAGTGCAGTCTCACCTGTTTAAGAGTCACTATAAAGCAGAGGCTTTGGAAGACAGAGTGGGGGTTCAACCCACTGGGGACTCTAGGAGTGGGTTTTGACACCCAAGGACTCGAGTATGCCAGGAGCAGTGAGGGCCAGCAGACAGCAAAGGACCCAGCAGAAGAGGCAGCAGCGCCCAGCAGGCATGGCAAAACCCAGGGGAGGAGGTTGGGGCTCAACAGCAGAGGACTGCCATTGAAGTCCCCACTGCCCTGCATACTAATGGACTTGCCCCTGAGCACAGGTAAGTGTCAGGGCCCTCCCTCAGATAACTGATGTTCTGTAGTGGGTTGGGGTTCTGTATGCACAGGCGGGAACCAAGCCACAGCTCAGTCACCTCATTTCTTCCTCACAGCAGCCCTGTGAGGCAAATGATTTCCCCTCAAAAAGGACTGAGTCTTAAGTATATCTGTAGTAACTGCCAGTTTTATTCCTCTGGCTAAGAGATCCAGAGGTAACTTGAGGTTTACATTTTTTTTAATAGTTCTTCCATCAAGAGTTTAGGTGCCCCCATTGCCCTTATAAGCTGGTTGCAAATTATTTAACTCTTACTTATAAAATTTTTTGTGTGTGTGTGTGACATGTGTTCATGAAAAAAATACATATAAGCAAAAAGAAAAAAGCTCACGCCACACAGAAATAAGCAGTCAAATTTTTGATATATGTATGTATATATACACACACACGCACACAAATCTGGGATTTAATCCTACATGTGAACTGGTACTAAATATACTGCTCTGTAACCTGTTCTGTTTTACTTTACAATATAGAATGAATATATTTTCATGCAAATATGTGAAACTTTCCAATTGAAAAACAGACCTCTGGAATGGGTCAAAATACAAAATCCAGTGAGATGCTGGTAACAAGGAAGCTACCTAAAACAAAATTCCACCAGATGATTAAAGGTAAAACAAAGGTCAGAGATACATCAGAAAACACTAACAGAAAGAAAGCAAGGGCCAGATTTTAATATCAGACAAAAAAGAATTCAAGGCCTAAAGCACACAGGATAAGGACGGCTACGTGAATGTCTTTGCTTCCAATGCATCATCACAAACTTGTTTCTTACTCTTCTTATCTCTTCCCTAAGCCTTTCCAACTCATCTACTCCTCTTATCATTTCTTCAGGGTCCAAATGCCTCACAGGAGTGTCCTCTTTAAACCCTGGGCCAGGTTGAATCAGCCCTCCTCTAAGATTTCCTTCTGCTTCCTGGCTTACACCTTCTTCAGAAAGTTGAGGATTTCCTTCTCCCTCCTGTGGTACATCTTCTGAAGGGTGGTCTGCCTCGGTCTTTGGCATGTTCTGTGGTTTTCCTTCATTTTCTTCACAAGACTTTTGCATGTTGAATATTTTTCTGGTATTTCTTTTGAATAATCCTAGAAAACAAGGAAACCAAACAACTAGATGCCAGACAAACAGACCAAAAGCCACAGTATAGGTTCCCATAGCGACAGGCCCCGGCTCATTCAGGTCCCTAATTGTCAAAAGTTTTCCAACTAGAGAAGGCTAGGTCCTCAGACTCAGAACTCTCCTGACTCCACCCCTTCCTCCACCTCCCTTCCCTCCCCCTCTCGCTCCAGCTCCATCTTTCCTCCTCTGGCTCCAGCCCACCATTTCCCAGCAGGCCCTGCTTACAGGCCTCTCCTAGCCCAGAAACGCGAGCAGCGCGGAAGCAATTAACCCCCTCGTCAGACGCCGGTCTCCAATATTCCCGCCCTCTCGGGCTTTCCCAAGCGGTCCCAGTCTCCCGCCACTCACCTGAGATCGGCTGGTGCAGTCTCTGACCTCCCCTCCCCCTTCCACTTCTCTCCAGCCTCCCCTGCCCCGCCCCATTTCCGCTGCAGGCTGAGAAGGCCTCCAGCGCTTAATCCGGATGGGGAGAGGCTGTGGCGACCCCAAGATGTGCTTCGGTGTCATGCACGCACTCACACTCACACCCCCACCCCGTACCCGAAGGGACCTGAGGCAATTGCACCCTTACACTGACCTGCAGGGATCCAGGGGATTTTCCTGCCTCCTTCCCTCACTCGATTTGTGTCGCGCCCAAAAGACCAAGAGTCCTGCAGACCGACAGGAGCGCTTGCTGAGCAGGCCAGTACCTGAATCACCGGTCCCTTTCAGGATTCTAGGCCTTGTTCATCTAAAGTCCCACGTCCTCATCCTCTCCTTCTTTCAAGGCAACCCCACCCCTCCCCGGTGCCCACCGGTTACCTGCAAGCAGGGAGTGGGAAACGCAAGTTATTTCCCTAATTTTTTCAACGTCTCTCTAGGGACTCTCAGTTGGCCGCCCTTCTCCCTTTCCACCCCCACCCCCACCCCCACCAAACAGGTCCGAATTTCCTGCACAAAAATGGAGGGAGCATGGCGGGCTGTAATGTTGGGAAAACAGTGGCGAACCCGTCTGGCTTCTGCACTCCGGCTCATAGACCCCGCGGTGCCCAAGGCAGCGTCCGCTTTTATACTGACCTGAAGGGATCCGGGGCACTTTCCTCCAGTAATACGGAGCTGCTACTGGGAAACAGGCCCGGGACTATAAGGACTTCTGCACACGTCGACTCCTGGTCACGTGAAGATCGCGTCATCAATGAGCTCCAGTCTTCAGTTACCCCTCCCATTTAACACTGCAGCCCGCCCCCTGCATTCCCTCCACTTGATACTGTCAATCTTTTTTCGTATTTGCCAATCAGAGACAATAGAATTGTTATCTTCTCCCTGCAGTTGCTCTTAGCCTTTCTTGGATCGCCAGGGAGGACCACCCCTTAGGGGTTAATCGACCATTTCTCCTTCTTTGGGGAATTATCTCTTTCTCTCTCCCTCTGCTTCAAATTCGCCCATCTTCCCTCCTCCCCCAAGACCTACAGTCCACCATTTCCCCAGGAGTCCCATCTAGCATTAAAATGGTCGAAGGTGGTAGGTGGGGGGAGGAGTGGGGGTAGAGGCAGCTAGGAAAGAATGCAGGAGTGTGGAATTTTTTTAGTAGTTCTCTTGAATTTTTTAATGCGTTAAGCATAATATTAAATGATCATGATGTTTTACAATAATGTTTTAGAAAGAGATGCCATATAATCAATATTTGACACAATATGGAGGACAAAATAGTTTTATCAATTTTTAAGACTTTGGAACAAAGTTTCCTAATGGCTACAAATGAAATGACAGTTCTCACAACATATTGATGTGTTAGAAAAAAAATTAATCTTATTAAAAGAGCACCTTAAAAAAAAAACTGACTCCCAGATTAATCTCTGGAAAGAAGCCCGTTTTTCTCTTGTTAGCAATCTTATATAAGTAATCCACTACTTTTTCTCTCTCTGGCTAAACTCAAGTTACCAAATGTTAAATGTCTCACCTTTTCATTGATGACTGCTGAATGGCTTCCACTCGGGTTTCAAATAGGTTTTAGACAGACCTCTTAGGTCCCTTAGGATCTGATGCCTTGTTAATCAGATGTGTCCCCAGAAAAGCCTGCTTTCTTCAGAGTGAACTTTATTTCGGAATTCAAATAAATATGTTGGAAAATAGCTTTCATACGCTCACAAACACTCAGAAAGGAGAGAGTACCCTGTATCTCAGCATTTGGTGTGAGGTTTTATTAGCAGGTAGAATTTTTATTCATTCATGGCATTCTTGAGATATTCTGGTATCATTCATTTTGTTCCATTAAAAAAGAGAACTATCAACATGCATAATTGTTATGATCAGAAGCAGAGCAAACATCATTGCTGTAAAAAAAATAGTTAAAAAAGGAAACTGATATTCCAACAACCCATAATCCACTGGTAATTGGAAGTGTGTTGTTCCCAGAAATGACATTCTGGCCAGTGGAGCCAGCTGGAGAGTATGAGAAGGAGGAAGTAAGGGATCTTTTGTCTAGGATTGTCACAGGGGGATGCAGCAGCCAACAACAAAGCCTGCCATGGAAAAGGAAAGGTTCAAAAAATAAATGTTTTTGCTGTCTTAATGTTTTATAATTTATACTTAAGCATGAAGAATTTATCCCACAGTTGAGATACATTTATCTATTATTCAAGACAGAGTTTTTAATGTAAATATAGCTGGTGAACTGTAACGATATAATCCTGAACTACCACAAAATGTTTCAATTCATTCTTTCAGATGTTACATGTAATGGGGGACAACTCTGATTTTTAAAAATTACTATCATATAGCAAAATTAGCCACTTTCTGTGTGTACAGTTCTGTGAAGTTTAACAAATGTATAATTTGTGTAATCACCACCACAATCAGGATGCAGTTCAATCACCACCCCCAAAAAACCCTCCTTTATGCTACCTACCCTGTTGTAGTCATAATTTACCCCCTTCTCTGAACTATAGCTACCACTGATCTATTCCCAATTCCTATAGTTTTGTCTTTTTCAGAATATTACATAAAAGAAATCTACGATATATCACTTTTAGAGATAGGCTTCTTTCACTCAGTGTGATGCCCTGGAAAGTCATTTAAGCTGTTTCATGTAGTAAGCTCATTCTTTTCTTTTTGCTGAGTAGTAATTATTCTGTTATATGGATACTCCAGTTTATTTGTTCATTTACCCAAAGGAATGTAAGTTGTTTCTACTTTTGAGTGATTATGAAAAGAGCTGTTATACACATTTGTGTACAGGTTTAGGACCTTACTGCCTCATGCCTGTTACAAGAACCCCCCTCTGACTTACCTGCCTTCGGTGACTTTCTCTCCCTCTCTAATTTACCTTGCACGTTACCATCAAATTAAACTTTACTCTTCCTTATTCTTAACTTATTTTCCTACTTGAAGGCAACCCCACCATCATAGAAGTAAATCCTATTTTACTCATCCTGACGTTAAGCATTGATCTGAATTGAGCATGAGGATGCATGTTCCCAGCCTTGTCATATACTACCACATCAAAAGGAACTCTCACTCACTGTTTCCCAAGTATGCTTTCTCCTCTCTTTGTCCTCACGGGCCATTTTTTCCTTGTAATTGCCCTCCACTTCCTCCTAGATCCTGGTCCTGCTCATTCTTAGGGGCCCATACTTCATCAACCAGCCTCTAAAGCCACCCCAACTGGAGGTGATCTCTCCCTTTCCTATTCATGCTGCACAAGAGTCTGCACCCCTCATATGGGCCTTAGGAAAGGTTGCCTTGTACCTTTGCCCTTTCCTGTTAGTTTAGGGGAAGGATATATCTAACCAGGCAGATGGTCAGAGGTGGGCTGAAAATATGGGGAGTCAGGCTCCAGCTCACATGTTGCTTTAGTGGCTCTTGTAATTTTTAATGGTGCATCTCCCAGAAATCTGAGTTTCAGAAGGAGCTGTTTGCAGGCTCACAGATGAGCCTTCTTTCTGTCTGCAGAAAAATTAAAGCTGAAGTTTCATTGTCCCCTCTTCTGCTTATTCTGCTCACGTGTAGTCAGAGCAACTTTAATACCATTTTTATGGAGCTATCAATAGAGAATATTGACCTTATTTTCCTAAATACTCACAAGAGAGACATCAGTCACCTCACTGGTGCACACCTGACAGCCAGATTATACAGGCCTTTACATTTATTGTTGTCCCTGAGCAATTTCAGTGCATCAATATAACACTTAGCTACCTTTGAAATTAAGTTAATCACAGTAGCTTTTAAATATAAGTAGATTTTTGAAGATAATAGCATTATATTAAATCTATTTTTAAAAAGAAATGGAAAAGGTGCACATATTAATTTTAACAATAAAGACATGAAATCTAGGAAGTAGATGCCCTGAGCTTCTGACCCAATCAATGCCCTGTCTTCATGTGCCAAGAGGACACTAGGGATAGCTCCAAAGCCCAAAGTCCTTCAGGTGTCAAGAGGAGAGAAGACAGAAGGAAGCATTTTAGCAGCCAGGAGTTCTTGTACAAGACTGTGATATCCAGAATATTGTTTTCTATAATCCCTTTAGAAGTCACTTCCATGGTGTTTTGTTCTGAGGCTCTATATTCAGCAACTCCTACTGCATATTTCTTCATTGCTGTTTTTTTTCAAGAATGTTTTTTTAATAATAAATTTATTTTTTATTGGTGTTCAATTTGCCAACATACAGAATACCACCCAGTGCTCATCCCGTCAAGTGCCCCCCTCAGTGCTGTTTCAAAGCTCGTCCCATAGTAGAGCTTGAGACAGCTATTCCCCTCCTTTTACTTCTCTAGCATAGTCTGTATGGCTTGAAAATATCATTCCCAGCATGGCAAAATCTCCTCCAGATCCAAAGGTTTAGCTGCATTGTGTGGACTCAAGTGGCCATCTTCTAAGAGGATTTCCCCTTTTAGAGCAAAGTAAACACAACACAATAGGTCTTTGTTCTAGAGAGGGTAGTCCATTCATGTTCTGATAATTGGAGCACAGAAAACCTGATTTCCAATTAGTCTGTATCTGTTTCAGAAAGTAAATCCTTCTACCATCCCTCCCTACTATGTTCCCTGACATTTGGAAATTTTGGATGGATAAATTTCAAAAGTTTCACAAACTATTCAGAATAGCGATTTGAAAAAAAAAATAGCGATTTGCCACATCCAAGCAAATGAACCTAATTTGAAGCACAACTTCCTTTTCTTTTTTAAAAAAGATTTTATTTATTATTTGGGAGAGAGTGAGAGAGCACAAGCATGGGGAGCAGCAGAGTGAGAGGGAGAAGTAGACTCCCCACTGAGCCAGGAGCCAAATGTGGGGGCTTGCTTTTAGGACCCTGAGATCACAATCCCAACCAAAGGCAGCGGCTTAACTGACTGAGTCACCCAGGCATCCCTGAAGCACAACTTCTATGATACTCTTCATCTCTTCCAGTTAATTCTGCCCGCGACCTGAACTCACAGCTAAATGTTACATATATTGTGGATTTTTGTGGTGAAGAGTTTCTATTTATCAGGGCATAATGCTTATTATGAATTGCTGTGAACCTGAAATCATAGGTCATAACCACTGCCATTTTAAATGTCCCCAATGGTATCCATATTGGCCACAGTAAGAGGAATCCCTGAGTTGGTCTGTTTAGACTTAATATGTTAGAGAATGCTCAAGATCCACCTCAGCTAGATTCTCTAGATTGCTTTGTTTAGTTAAACCTTAAGATCTGCATCTATGTAGAACCTCTTGAGAGGTTCAGGGGAGGCACACTTCAACTGTACTACAGCTTGGGCCAGGCAACTTTTTCCTGTGGCAGAAGAGGAGTTGTTGGGGAGTGAGTGCACTTGCTGTAGGCTGAGTGCTTTTAAAATTTAAATTTAGGGGCGCCTGGGTGGCTCAGTCAGTTAAGCATCTGCCTTCTGCTCTAGCTCCCCTCAAGATCCCAGGGACCTGGGATGGAGGTGGAGGTTCCTGCTCAGCCAGGAGTCTGCTTCTTCCTTTCCTGCCTCTCCCCTTCATCAGTTGTGCCCGAATGCTCTCTCTCTCTTTCCCACTCTCTCTCTCTCAAAAATAAATAAATAAAATCTGTAAAAAATTAAATTTATAATGAGAAGAAAGTCTATGCTGGCCTCTTGATTCTGCCTTGGTTGCCTGTTTTTTTTAATAAATTAATTTTTATTGGTGTTCAATTTACCAACATATAGAATAACACCCAGTGCTCAAGC